CCCCTTACCTCCCCGGCCACCGAGATTCCTCACGGGTCCCAAGGCCCTTCCCGGCCCCGGGAAGCCCCGGGGCGCCAATCCCCGCCGGGGCTGCCAGGTTCCGCTACCCCCAGGGCCTTCCCTTTGGCGGCCGACCGAAGGTCCCCTCCCGCAAGGCTGTGGGGGGGCGGCGGGACGGGTTTCCATTCAGCCCCCGGCTATATAAGCGGGCCCTGGGCGGCGGGGAGGGGTCGGGAATGCGGAACCCGCCGAGCTGCCAGCTCCAGACGTCAGAGGGGGACGGAGAGGAAGGGAAGGAGGGGACAGGGGAGGAGGGGGTGTGGATCCGGCGCTTCACACCCACTGACCTTCACCTCCCCCGCCGCCTTTCGCGCCCTCCTCCCGCGGCTGCTCGCACTGCTCTCCCCGCCGGGGCGGCTGCGGCCCCGCGGCACCAGCTGGGGCTCCATCGCCGTCCCAGGCTCTCCCAGCGCGCGAGAAAGCAGGACGCGGCGAGCGGTTATGTAAGAGCATCCCCCCCACCCACCCCGCGCACAGCGGCCGGTGGCCACCCGAGACAGAAGACAGAGAAATGAGAGGGCGGCAGCAGGACCAGCCGAAAGCCCCTTGAAGCCTACGCAGTCTGTGCTGAACCATCTTCCTAGATCCTAGCGCTTTTTGCCAGACCGAGAGAGACAGCATTTCAGCACATTTTCATCCTTGGACACTTCACGACTGAGTCAGCGAGGAAGTGATCTCGCAAGCCGGCTTTATTTTCCCATGGAGAGGATGAGCAGAAGATGAAGGCTTGTGGGTGCCTCTACCCCACCCACTAGCCCACCTGGCCACCATACGTGCCTTAAGCCCCGGGGCAGTTCGCTGCAGGAGGCCTGCCCTCCACTGCTTTCTCTTTCTGGGTGGCCAGCACTGTTTGACCTGGGCTTTTTGTCCTACTCCATCAGCTTCTCCTTTCCTCTCATGGCCAGAGCACGCCCAGCCCTCCTCCCACCGCGAATGGCCTTCTTCCCCATTATAACTTCCATTGCCAGCTCGACTCCCACCTTTCATCTTCCCAGAGTGGTAGACGGTTCAGGGAGAGTCCAGAGGACATGTGTGTTCCATGGTGCCCTCCAGTATATAAAGCCCGGCGACCTCCAGCACACGTGTGGCACCTGAGACCTTGACACCATGGTTGGCATCTCCTACCTCCAGACGCCCTGGGGGCTCAGCCAACCCCTTACCTTTCTGTGGAAGCCAGAAAGGGGTGACTGTTTATATTCAGTGACTGTCGGCCTCCTTCTCAAGAGTGAGGTCAGGTCATCACCCAAAGAAGAAAGGAAGTGAAAGAAAAAGTTCATGCCTTCTTGGAGTGCAGATGTTCAGAGTGAAAGAAACAACAGTAGTTGAGACAGATGGGAGCAGTAAGCAAAACCAAGTGAGCATGTCTCTGCAAGGAAGTGTCGTGAGGTTTTCTTTTCCTTCTCTCCCCCGTGCAGTGAACTCCCTCCCGGGAAGAGGACTGGAAAGGCAGATCACATCCCCGAGGACATTGCCTGGCCGTTTTCACCTTCACGGTCAGATCTCTCACTCAAAGCATTGAAGTCAGTAAGTAAAAAGAAAGTAAGGCCCTGAAAGACTCTACAATGCAAGATGAGTAGTAATTTGCTAGTTT